AATTTTTATATATAAAATAATATATTGATACTAAAAGACAAATTCAACATATCATACATCAAAAAAAGTTTTTCAACAATAAATAAATTAATATAACAGAATATATAAATAGGAATGTATATTTTCTATTTTATATAAAATAAACTATTATTAAATTTATTATCACTATAATTATCATAAAGGATATAGAATGTATTAAAATTCATAAATCTGCAGAATACACGTCCGTATACATAAGATTAAAATAAAAATGTTATTAAAAAATATATATACATCAATTCAAATCTAAATATATAAAAGAAATATTATAATTTCAATTCTAATTCCTAAAACCAAAAAACATTAATTTATAAAAAATATTACAAAAATATATCTATATATAAAAACATAATGGTATATATATAATCCTAAATATTGAACCCTGAAACTGAATCCCTAAATCCTGAACCCTGAACACTATTATATATATTGTTATTCATTAGTATCATAAATTATCATAATAAGAACAATGATTTATATGATATTATATTCATTTTCCGGTTTATTTATAATTATAAAATGCTGTCAATAAAATTTAGATATGATGTTTTATTTGCATCAAACCATCATACATACATAAACAGATATTATAGATTTAGTGCTTTTCTTGTGAGCTATATATTATTCTATAGTTATTATCATTCAGATTATTGTATGTGTGTTCAAATGTATTTATTAAATTCAGTTGTTTATTACTTTTTTTATTCTTCATTCTCATTATTTTCCTTATCATTTGACGTATAAATGAAAAATAAGGTGTATACTGACAACCATAGGAAAGAAAAAAAATTTTACTAGTGAATAAGTTTTTCTATAAGAATAATTTATAATATAATGTAATTTAAAATTTTATAGAATATATTTTTAATGAATTCAAAAATATTTTTACCTTATACATTATTAAAATTGTTGAAATTATTGCAATAGTTAAACTAAGCATGCCTACAATGTCCCCCGTTCCATGGTTTATTAATTTCTGAGTTTCTGGAGTTGTTACTTCACTTTTTGCTGATATGTTAACTTGTAATAATAATTGCTCTGATTCATTGTCTCTACTTTTCACTGGTCTGTAAACTGGAAGCCTAAGATATTCATTTCTATAATTACAACTATTTATTTTCATATCATATGTTTCTTTAAAAGCATTCAGTGCAGAAATTAAACTAGATATTTTTTCATCGTGACCTTTTTTCGAAAGTTCCTTATATATATTTATTATTTCTCTTTGTGCTCCTTCACTACTATTACCCCACTCTACTAATTTAATTTTATCATATAGTTTATCCAGCTCGTGAAATATCTGAAATATATCATCTTCAATATTTTCATCATGATTTTTACAATTCATGAGATCACTGAGTGATCTTAATTTCCGATCTTCCATATATTTAAACATTTTGCTGTAACAATCAGCTACATTATTACATTTAAGAGATTTATTATTTTTTTCAAGCATTAGCTTGTAGCTAAAATATTTACATCTTCGTTCTCGTTCATCACCATCAGTGTTTCTTGTATGATACAAATACTTACCAAGGTAAATGCAATGCAAATAAAAACTACATTTACTCATTTCATAAATATTTAAGGTCTCATTACAAAATTGTTGGCATGAGTATACCAAATGATTATGTATCTCATCATGCATATACATATCTTTAAGAGCGTTATAATCAGAATGATATCTATGAAATATTTTATCAAACTGGACCTAAAAGCAAAAGTTATGATATATGAAAATATCAAAAATATTTTCCTGAGAAAATATATTTTCCTTAGTTTTCCAATGTCCCTATATTTAAAACTATTGAATATAATTATAATTTTAACCAAATATGATATCATACCTTATGCAATTCAGAATATTGAGCACTCATTATCGTCTTATATAACTAAATTGATATAAAAAATACGTTATTTCTATTATGAAAAACATAAGTGTGTTAAATATATAAGAATGATAATTACATAGATACCATATGATATATGCTAATAAATTCTTATTTTTAATTTATTCTTTTCAAATAATAAAAAATGTATTATTTATCAATATGAATTATAAAATTTTTTTTTCATATAAATATATTTATGAATAAGGAATTTATCATTTGCTATTTAAATAAAAGCAATAAATTATGAAAAATATATTAATAACATTCTTTTAATATATAATATACTTATAATCATATAGCTTTTAGATATAATTATTTAAACTATAACTGCACTATTTTAGGATATTATTTGTCATAATTTATATATATACATTTCACAATTCCTTTTAATTCTTCAAAATATATTATCCTCCTATATATTGTGTAATCATAGAGTATATTGTTCACGTTAAAGCTCATGTATTCAGAATTATATAATAGAATTTTTTGTTTTAACTACAAATGTTCATTTCATTAAAATATTAAGCAAAAGAGCTTATTTATTCTATTATTATTTCATATATGCGTGAATTATATAAAAAATTATTGTAAATATATATTAATAATTTAAAAATTATATATAATTTAAAATGATAGTACTTGATTCAACATAAATTAGAATAATAACAGTGTATATATATATTTTTTTAACTTTATCATGTAATATGCATAAATTTACAATATGATAAACAAATATTACAGAATATTCATACAATAATATTATAATATATTTATATATAACAGAAAATATTATATTTGTCAATTATATAACATATTATATAATTATTTTAGGTTTATTTATTATTTTTCAGCGTCCAACTTTAGCATTATATATAAAATTTATTATATTTTCTATTTAGTAATAAATGTATTGCTTTTTTAATGTCAAGACATAATTTAATTTACCTAATCTATCTATAATAAATAAATATATGACGCAAAAAAGATTTATTATTATATAAATTTTACTCTTGTATGTAACATAATGTAATTTAATATTTTAATAATTTCTATATTATCTATTTCTTTTTCACTAATATATTATATTAGGCATATATTATGTTATGACGTATATAATCCCGCAGATAATCTTCATAATATCATTACAATGTACAAGTGTAAAACAAGAAATAATTTTATTAATAAATAATTTATACCTATTCAATATTTGCAATACAATGTATGCATCATATATGATATGAAATAAAGGTTTAACAAAATAAATAATATAAGAACTATAATGCATTCATTTCAGAATATACTATATATATTTTCCTCTCATAAATTATTAATGAAAATTAAATTACACATTATGACATTTTGAAATTTATATATTTATTTATTGGATATTATTAATTATAATTAAATTTTCTCTATATGCTAAATTAAAGCATTCGTATATCATATAAATTATTACTTTAAAATATGCATAAAATTGATAATTAAGCACTCTAATATGAACATTTTAATTTTTCATTGAACATATAATGTAATAAAAATTATATATTATATAAAACATTTGTTATTTTGCTTTAACATTTTATTAAACTCAAAAATAGTATAAGCTATCACCATATCAAATAATATACTACATTTTATATAGTAATTATATGATGCTAAAATTATTTAATTTTTATTAATATTGTTATTTTAAAAAATATATTATTACATGCTTTTAAAAATAAGGAAATAATTATATTACATAAAAGCGTAATCCTTGTAATTTGGAGATTTTATAAATTATATATAAAATAAGTATTTTAATTTTTTATAAATTTTTACCTTATTGGATATAACATGCATATTATTTATTTTAGCAATAATAAGATGCTATATTTATAATTTCATTTGTTCATAATAATTTTTATATTTAATATATTCTTAACATATTATTAAATTAGTTCTTTAATATCATGACACAAAATATTAATATAATATAAAAAATATCATGATACAAAATAATATATTCAATATGAATATAATTCTAAATGAAATTTAATATTTTATACAACGTATACGCTTTTTATTGATAATAGAAAATTAAAGCACTTTATATTATATATGATTACAAAAATTATTCACAACAATATTGTGTTCACAAATTATTATTTTAAAAAAGTAGCTATAAATACAAATAACTAAATACATAACATAACACTAATAATAAATGAATAATTTTATGTCTATGAAAGTAAGCGTGAATGATATATATAATATCTTAACCTATTTTCCTTTTAAAAATAACATCATATTATATTGTGGACATTATTATAATATCTTCCATATATCATAAATATATTTCACGTAGAATAAAATTGTATGGCATATTTTTGAGCATACATATAACATCACAACCATGATGTTGATTTTTTTATTATACTTTCTATTACAGATAATCGTATATTACTAATGATTATTTTTTATTTTTATTAAAAGTAATATGGTATACTCATAATTTTATCTAATTCTCTACCGTGTTTTAATTCTGTGCACTCATAAAGAAATAAAATGTAATGAATATATACATTATTTTTTTCAATTTAATGGTTAACTAAATAAATGTAATACATTAAAATATATTACTGATATAATCACTCGATTTGCAAATTATTATAAAAAAACATGCAATACATATAACATACATATACATAGAAATCATTGAAAAAGCTTTTTTTAAAAAAAAATATAAGTATCATTTATTTAATGGCAGATTGTCTAGGGAAATTACATATATAAATATACATTAGGTTGTAATACAATTTTCATATGCTAATAATGCCTTATAACAAATTATAATTTAATAATTATTTAAAAGATTTATAATATATTTCGTGGAATAATTATATTCTTACTACACATGTACAGAATATGCATGGTCTGTTATATTTTTTAAACATATTATCTTCTATATATTTGTATTTATACTTGTTATTTGCTTTATATAACTTAAACTGAAATAATAATAATTCTTCAACTATTCGTTAAGATAATTTCATTAATATGCCACAATTTTGTGTCCCCAAGTAATGCCTATGTTTAGATATATTTATTTTCACGTATTAATTGCTTCCGCATTAATTAATTTTAAGCAATATCAGTTTAAAAATGACATATTTAATTCCTATCTTTTATACTAATTATTGAAAGTAGTGAAGATAGAAAGAATGTACAATTATTATTTTAATAATTTTATTACATGTAATCTTATTTATATTATTGCTTTAATATCATATTATCTATCACTGTGAGTATAATGGGTAGGAATAATATTTATTTTATGTAATTATATATTAGTTTGTCTAATGAAGAAACTAAATTAGAATTTTACGCATGCAGTATATTACCATTGTTTGTATTAAGATTAAGGCTATATTCACTTTGTTAATTTATAAGTTACTGATTTTATGACTGATATATTGGTTTTGTCAAGGATCCTCTTTATTAATAAAGTTCTATTTATTATTGTTTATATGTGAAATCATTTTAACATGATATTAATAATTCTAATTTCTAACATTAATAATGATAATATAAGCTAACACTAAACTTAATATTATTATACTAATTTATTACAAAGAAATGTGTTCAATCATACTGAAATATAAAAAAGAGATGTATATGATTCCCCCTTGCTACTATGTATCATAATTTATTGCATTATTTAGGAGAATAGTAACACTAGGAGAATAATTAATTTTTAAAATAATTTTATTTCCGTAATTAATAAATATTTATATTATAAGCATTATAATTTATACATATTGAATTTTGGTATCTTTATTTTAATATTTCCTAACTCTATAGAACAAAGGATTATAATTATTAGGACTACTTATATATTAAATTTTTTAGAATTCCAAATAATATACATAATTACAGATAATGAGACATTTTTTGGATGTTTGTCATATTTCACTTATTTTAAATTTTGTGCTTTATAAGAAAATTTTATGTAAAGATATATATTTTTCTATTTATAATTATTAACTGATTTCATTACAATTTACACTCAACTTAAAATTAAAGAAATTATGCTTATTGTACATAATTATACATAAAATGTGTTCTCAATGTCTTTTTCATCATATTTTTAAATTAGCTTCTTTTGAGAAAATTACTTTTCAATATTGATTAGCTATGTAACGTTAATTATGTACGAACATATATGTTCTTAGAATTTTTCAAAAGGAATAAGAATAAATGAACAATAATTCTTATTTATAAAATAAAATTACGCTTATATTTACTTCTATAATATCAGATGCAACATAAAATATCGATAAATAATAATTAAAAAAGTTTCCAAATATATAACATGATATTAAAAATTTTGCTTGAAATATTTTTTATAACCTTTAATAAAAATAAAAAATGAAAAAAAATAAGATATATTAACGAAAATAATTAGCACAATTTTTGAATATTTACAATAAATTTCATAGAAATTAAAGGAATATTAGTGTAAATAGGGAAAAAAACGTATTATTTATTATTTAGTTATATAAAAATGAACTATGTATGTAATGTTTTTGTACATTGTAGAAAAAATAACATATTTTATTATATATTATTTTATTGTGATTTTGTTTATTACTCTATTAAAACATTGTTATTTTGTAATTATTTTGTATAATCTCATTTATTTTAAAATATGTATATTATGTAATTTTCTTTTTATATATAATTATTTTTATATTTTAATAAAATATTCACTTGTGAAAATTTTACAAAATATATATATATTATATTCACTTTGTTTTCTCTATATATGTTTATATATTATAAATATTAAGGATTATACTGGTTAAAACATCATAATCAATATAACAAAAAATATGCTAATATATATGAAGATATAATAAAACATTATGAAACTATATTTTCAATGGAAGAAATTAATTTTAATATAATATAATATTTATAGAACATATTAAAATAAAACAAAT